CTCCGGTCCCAGTCAAGACTTCAGTGAAACAGTCTCAGAACTTGTTTATTCTCTCATGTTCAGAACTTTTAATAAACATTTGAACTTTTTCCCTGCCTCCTCCGTGTGTGTTCTGCATATGGGCTTGCTCCTTTGATCCATCATGACATTAAAGCTTTTTGGAGACACTGTATTGTTGGCTACAGAAACCTGTTCAAAGACTGACTGTTACTTTAGGTAAATGGCCTGTACTTATATAGCGCCTTTTTTCAAGTCAGGAGACTTGACCGAAGCCTTTACACTACATTCAGTCATTCACCCATTCACTCACACACTGATGGTGGAAAGCTACATTGTAGCCACAGCTGCCCTGGGGCTCACTGACATAACATGAATGCCTTTGACAGAATTCAAATGATCCATTTTAAGATTAATTCCAAGATTACAGGGAGATTAATCTAAATTAAAAAACATCTATGCTCACCTCTAGTTTTTACCCAATCTATACTGATGAAAGGGCAAACCAATGCAAACTGGTCACTTTGACCAAAATATTGGTTAAGTAGTATTGCATCTTTCAAAACCCAAAACCAGGTCTGGAACCGGTAAGCCTTTCTTTGTCAGGTCCTCCAGCCAACGCCATTTTTACTACTAACCTTGTCTCATATTGTAATACTAAAGTACTAATCATACAACTGTGACCAGTGGCTTGCTCAGATTCTGATTCTTATATTATTTAATGAAAATGGTTTTAACCAATTAGATTGGTTGTTTTTCTGAACAATATATTATTAGAATCTATACAAACTCTATCCAACTGACCTGAACTCTCCTCCAAACTCCCACATCTTGATTGAATCCTGAGGCTGTTTAAATGCCTGTTGAAGTCTGCAGGCGAGCTAAACCACTTGCTGAAGCGGTCACATGGTATGGCGACAGCAAGGCTTTAGACATCATATATTTTGACCCCTCCCCTACATGAAGCAAGCCTCGATATGCGCGATTGAGTTTGTAGGACTTTTAGAGTAATGTTCAGTTTTAACCCAGAGTTATACCCCAGAGATCCTGTTATCTTTCCCTCTATGAAGATCCTTATTGATTGTAAAGAAGTGAATATCACACCCACCCGAATGAAGCACAACTGTCTTTCTGTAAATGTCTCCATGTATCAGTGGAGCCAGTATTTCCATGTTTGTTCTCAGGTGGTTTGGTCAACTTTTGGGTTTAGAAGCAAATAAAACTCAGCAGAGATAAGACCAAATATCACCTTTAGTGATATGTAGACCTTCAGAACGGGTTAGGGTTAAGCCTAACCCAGGGGGCAGAAATGTTCCCTTCCTCCTGCAACGGTTCATAGCTCCCTTCTTTACCGCTGTGCACTGCAATAAAATGCTGCCTAATATCAGGGTGGCTGCACCTCTTTTCTTACCACATCAAAATATGTTTTTAAATAAAATTTTTCAAATGTCGGTCAAAGAGAGTCTAAGGGAGCCAAAGAGAGTCAAATGGGGTCAAAGAGAGTCAAATGGGGTCAAAGAGAGTCTAAGGGAGTCGAAGAGAGTCAAATGGGGTCGAAGAGAGTCTAAAGGAGTCAAAGAGAGTCAAATGGGGTCAAAGAGAGTCTAAGGTAGTCAAAGAGAGTCAAATGGGGTCAAAG